TGAATGCAATTAAGGGGGGGGGGGAACTGTAAAAAGACAGTTTAAAACCTTCACTTCAGCAATAAAATCCTATGTGCATCTGCATAAAATGTCCATTTGGGAAAGTTGGAGAAGTTAGGTAAGACTGGACTCTCGACCAAAAGGCGCATGGCGGTAAGTTGGATGTTGTAAGTTGCTTCTGGTGGCCTTTGTGGAAGGCAACTTAAGTGTGTGTCTGCTTAATCTCCACAAAAGCACTCAGTTATTGTTGAGTCTGCAGGCTTCTAGTCCTGCTCCATTGGCTCCTCCTCTGCGCTCTCCGAGTCCAGGGCCCCTGACCCAGAGTCGCCCTCTGTGGGTGAGTCTACGCTACTGCTGCTGGATGTGGGTCCAGAGGCATTTTCATCCGTGCTACTGCTGCTGACCTGCTCGCTTGGCTCCTCCCCTTCTCTCACCTCAGAGCTAGAGGCCACGCCCGCTGGGGCTCTCTGCTCTGATTGGTCCATATCGCTGGGCTCTTCTAAGGAGTCATCAGAGCCACAAGGAACCTCTCTTTCAGTAAAAGCCTCTCTGGAATCTGCTACAGGACACTCGGGCTGTGTGCTGGAAGGCTCTACGGTAGCAAAGAATAGAATATGTAAGTGCTTTATGTAGTGTGTAAACAACCTTAAAGAACGGGGGGGGGAATGATGATACCTTGGTCCTCAGAGCCTCCAGCTGATCCATGAGGTTTACTTTCCTCCTCTTCCTCACTCCCCTCCTGCAACATGGATGATGGTGATTCGGCATCCTCTGACTTATCTGAGGAGCTATTAGTTGATACCTGCTGGTCTACTTCATCTTCATCCTCTTCTTCATCATTGCCATCCTGGTTGAATTTCAGCCTCTTTACTTCATGTTCCTCTGCCTCCATTCCCTCATCTTCCTCATCATCTAAGTGTTTGTTCTTTACAGAGCTGCCAAGAGGCCAATCAATGCCCGATACAGATGCATCACTGGAACACAAAGATATATTCTGTATTTCACTAATGTAAAGGATATTCAGGGCTTTATATCATGTGAAAGATAAGTGAACATGTTCATTGATTCAATCATCAACTAAATTACTGTTTTCCAGTAATTTAAGTAAATCTTGGCATTTAATTTTTACTGTTCACCATCTCTGGTCTTGAGTGATGATCAGATGAGATGAGATACAATGGCAAATTTAGCCTACCCGGCCGATTTGCAGTGTCCTTGTGCTGTGTTTGTTTCTTTGTTTTCTGTACTGTCCGGAAGGCCATTTGTGGCCAGTGAACTGGACATGAAGTGTTTCTGTCTGTTTAATGGTCTGGGTGTTCCTGGACCATTTACTTTCCTGTAATATAGAGGGAAATCAAATTTATGCTTATTTTTTTTAAATGACTAGTCCTGAGCTCCATATACTTTCCTCACCTTTCTGTAAAGGCAGATGTGTTCCCTGACAACATGACTCCATTCATTCTGTTGACACCGCTGCAGCCATTCTTCCTACAAAGAGGCCAAAAATAGATTCAAGGTATCTAAGTGTTCAATTAATATGTAGTAACTTTACATTTTAATAGTAAAGTGTAATTACTTACTCAGATGTAGGATAAATGCAACTGACCACCATCACATTCTGATGAAGAGAAGAAACAATCAGTATCAATAACATAAACTGCAAATTCATTTACAACCTCCTATATGGGAAAATGTATGAGTGAATATTTAAGTTGGACTAAAATGTGGGCCTTGAATGGTAATCAAATCACTTAAGCATATATAACACATAAATGTGTCAAAGTTCCTCCAACACATTGTAATAAAACCCATTTAGCAAACTGCAAACATTTGAAGACACAAGTGTGTAAAACACTGTAAACGATCCTCTAGAGTTATAAATCAAACACCTGCAAAACAAATACAAGTGACCATAAATCAACAGCATGCCTTTATGAAAGTCAAAGATAGCAAGTAATAATATTTCACATCTGACTTTGGATGGAATGTAGCAAAACTACAATAAAAATGCAAATACAAACTGAACATACTGGGAATGGACTGTCATCCCTATAAGAACAGGGTGAAGAAGATTCCTCAAAGTATTTTATAGAAAGTGCACCACTACACACAACTAAACAGCATCCATCTGGCCCAATTAGTTCTTAAACTGAATAACACATCACACACTGACCTTCTCTACCCCTCTGAGAAATTTCTCTGTCCCTGTGTAGTTCCTCTTAGGTTCAGTGAGCAGCTCGCACAAGCGCTGGATAGTGAATGGGATCCTGGATAGAGAAAATGTTTGAATTAGCTGCTGCATCCTCCACAACGGTGTAGGCTAGGTTATATTCAACAGCCAGAAGATGGCACACTTGCTCTGGGGTAAAGAGACAGGGACAAACCCAGTGCTTTTCTGAAAGGAAAATTGGTGATAGCACCACACTATGCAATTAATTAGCGTGTTACTCACCCATTGTATTCATTCACTATCTTAAGAATTCTCTCCTTCATTTCTTCAAAAGGAACCGATTCTACGTTGGGGTTAGCAGGCCCTCTCTGCTCCGGGGCCGATGCTTGGAAATCCTCCATTACATTCTCCAGTTTGAAGATGAAGTAGCTTTTGAACTGACACCATGAAACCCTGAAAACGCGACAATATTAAAGGGTTAGTTCACCCAAAAATGAAAATTAGCCCATAAATTACTCACCCTCAAGTCATCCTAGGTGTATATGACTTTCTTCTTTCAGTTATATAAAGAGTTATATAAAAAATTGTCTTTGATCTTTCAAGCTGTTTAATGCCACTCAGCGGGTGTTGCATGCATCAGTCCAAAAGAAGTTAAATAAAAAGCACCCATCCATAAAAAAATAAAAAAAAGTGTCTCACACGGCTCCGGGGGGTGAACAAAGGCCTCCTGTAGCGAATCATTGCATGCGTAAGCTGAACTCATACGTCATCAGCCCGGAGCTGCTTCCGTGTACAACTGTTGGCGCAAGCTATTTTTAAAGTATCTTTTCAGTTCTTTAAATCATTTAATATTTCTATATTCAAAATTTTATATTTAAAACATTAATCTCATCATGAATTTATGGATTTAATTGCGCTCATGCCACTGAGCCTCATTAAATGTCTGAAAGTAGGCTACACCAAGCCACTTGTGTTCTTCTGTGCCACCTCTACAAATTAATTTAGTTAATACTGATTTCATTTGATTTTTAACTTGTTTCTTATTCTACTTGTTCTTATTCTGTCGTTCTAATTAAAATTTTTAAAAAGCTTATAAAATATAATTTTTAAAGAATTTGACAAAAGATGACATACTTTTAATAGTTAGAAAAAGGCCATTACAAAGGTAAAAACTAAATTCCACTGTAAATCACTTTAAGGAGTCAAATATCACCTCGTAATGGGAAGGCTAATTTTTGATAAAATTTTGGATTATTGATTAGAAGGTGCTCCTAAAATTTTTAACGTGCTCCTTAATTTTTTAAGTTTCTTTAAAAGAAAAGTAAGCATAGAGCCCTGTGACACTTTTTTTTTTATGGATGGGTGCTTTTTATTTAACTTCTTTTGGACTGATGCATGCAACACCCGCTGAGTGGCATTAAACAGCTTGAAAGGTCAAAGACAATTTTTAATATAACTCCGACTGGATTCGACTGAAAGAAAGTCATATACACCTAGGATGACTTGAGGGTGAGTAATTTATGGGCTAATTTTCATTTTTGGGTGAACTAACCCTTTAAGCATTAGTAACTCCAAGACAGCTAAACTTTGTAAGGGACAACATTCGCCGGTCATGATGACACGGCTACCAACCAAATAAATGAGCACGGAATTTTTATATATGAAAATTCAGTTGAAATGGTTTTATTATGTGAGAAGAGACCAGAGTGATACAAGAAATATGAAACTAACACAACAACTATGTAGGATCAAATAAACACTGCCACACAGTTCAGTGGTCCTTATGCAAAAATAATTGACTACAGAACTCTACTGACCAATCAGGAGCAGGTATTACAGAGACATACATAGATTCAATCTTCTGATATGCATCTGACTATGGATTCTCACAATTACTTCATGAAATGAGAACAGGTCGTCTAAAGCAGATCTAGTCGATAAGTACAAGGTTCAGGGTGTTTTGTATGGAAGCATATAGGTAGCGAAATTCAATTTAAAATGCAATATGCAAAATGGCAATGCAATATTGAAAATGGCAACGCAATATTCAAAATGGCAATGCAATATTCAAAACGGCATTGTATTTCTGTATTTAAATTTACATTTTCCATTACCCATACGTGCAAAGTTTGGTGCAAAAGTAAAATGAAAATTAAATTATATAATTTACATTTGCCATTTCCAAC